GAGCATGAAGGGAATCAAACAGGTGCTGCAGATGCATTACACAGTATCCAGGTCAACTAACTAAGCAGCAGATTCCCCCGTGGAGATCTACAGTGACACATTGACCCTGTTTTTCACGCTTAGTGTAAATGAACATATGATGGACAAAGTCAGCAATAAGAACAAGTGAAGTGGAATAATCACTCTTTCTGCCTAGTTTCCAGTGAAACTCATTAGGCACAGAAATTAACTCCTGCCTCTTTTTTTTTTCAACCTGCCATGTGAAATTTGTTATATAAGATTACATTTAATGTGTTGTAATTCTGAGACTTGGAAAAAAATGTGTTTGACTGCAGTGCAACAAGTGATCATTTTCTTTGCACTTGCCTTAAAAAGCAACCCTTCACCTAGTGTCATGTCAGTTCCATTTCTCATCCCCTGAAAGAGCAGAATCCAGGCAGAAATCCGTGCATCTCTCCTTTCTGCACATACAGACTCTTATTACATTCACAGCACATGGCTTAATATCATATAGCCTCCTCCAGTGCTGCAGATTGCAAGCAGGACATGAAACAGACAGACAGTAGGTGATACTCAGTTTACCTGAAGTGTCCCACAGACTGAGCTCCACGCGCTGCTCCTCGAGCTCTAGACAGGCTGTGTAGTTTTCAAACACCGTGGGCACGTAGGTCTGTGGGAGCAATTAGCAACATGGTGCCATTAGTGGGGAGGTGTCAGCTGCAGGAAATGCAATACACCCGAAAAACGGAGCAACATGCAAAGAGGCACTGAGAAGTGTCGAGTAATTATTTGGTCGATTAATATATAAAAAAAAAAAAAAAAAAAAAAAGATGATGCATGAAATATGCAGCACGGTAGCCAACATGCACAGATGAGTAGGGAATATATACAGTATAACTTATACAAACAGCAAATGCATTTAAAAGGTATAATAATATTATGTAAACCAAGAAAAGAAAAATGGACGAAAATGCGCATGCAACCGGGGCACTGCAACAGACGCAGACATTTTTTTACCGCCGCATTGAATCATTATGCAGAGTTTAAAACTTAACATCGTCAAAACGCAAGCACACGAATGTGCATTAAAATTGTAGTTCATATTTTTATTTTTTTTTTTTTACTAACATGGGCACAAATAAAGCCTACCTCTGGATAGCAATCCTTCGCCAGCACTTGTAACATCGCCGTTTTTCCGCATTGAACGTCTCCCACAAGCACCAGTTTACATCTCACCACCAGCGGCTGTGTGTTCCTCCTTTCCTTCATGATGTTGGCAATAATGTTTCGGAAAATTCCCTTTGTTTTTGAACAAAATGAAAAACAGAAGCAGCAGAACAGCCCAGAAATGCTCCCAGAGTGTGCGGATTGTCCGGATGCGTAGCAGTCTGTGGAAGCTCGCTGTGATCTGATTGAATTTGCCACTGCGGCTCTTTATACAGGGGAGCAGCAGCCAATCAGAGTCCCCCATTCCACAGGCGCTTCTCCTCACTGCACTCCGAGATGTTCCCAGAGAGCAGGAACACGTTGTTTTGTCAAGGATGAGAGAACAGCTGTGGTATAAGCAAAGCTTTTGTTAAAATGTGAGAGGCTTATAGGCCTACTTATTTTCCCTGCCGACATAAACAATACTTTATCGTTAACAAGTTCTATTTCATATAGGCCTACTGTGTTAAAACATATAGGCCTGCTTTCAAAGCAGTCTGTCACTGCAGACTTGTGTTTTGCCAACTGTGCTGTCACTGGCCTGCTGTGAATTGATTGATTTGATTGCCTTGACTGGCTTGATCAAAAGCATACCACTGGCTGACAGCTGAAGGGGCTAATAGACCAATTCACAGTTGAATAATTAGATAACTTTGATCTGCACTTCATTAGTCAATGTTGGCCAAATAGCTTCTTTTCTCCTTTTTTTGTACTTTTTCAAGTGATAAAACACCTTGAGCCAGAATAAAAACAATTGAAGTAGGCCTATGCTGAAGGTACCTTTTTGTCTCTTGAGAAATATTAACCTTTTCATCGATTATAGTAGACAATCTGAAAATGACCATGGTTGGGTGACCTCTTTTAAAATAAAATACAAATATTTGATTTGTTTCAAAAATACAACATTATAAAGCATTTAGGTGTCACACCCTGAGCATGACATCAGGAAAATGGTCACATTGTGAACTGTTGTCAAATGAGGCCCAGTGTTGTCCTATGGTGGACTTGTGTTAGGTAAAGAATGGTCTGACCTGCTCTTTTTGTAAAGTTACCTGAGATAATTGTTTATTTAAATCGATTGAGTGGTTGAATAGGCTTCAGTCAATTTGGAGTCTGACCAGCATCATTGTGACTCCCAGTTTAATCCCACCATGGCGACACCTGCGGTGTTGAGGTGATAAGTGGCCAAATCGACTGCCTACAGGGCAAGCAAAAGCTCTTTCCTCTCTCTCCACTGGAGACACACAGGTGCTGATGTTCACACTCCTAAGGTCATTACGGAAACAAAGTCTCATTGTTAGGAAATTAAGAATTAGCCTAAATGTGTCAATTTGCCTCCTTCCCCATGTCTGGCAGGGAACTGGTTAATTTACTTACTGTTACCAATCAGAGCCCATGCAGTATTTGCCCCAGTAGGTCAAAGCAATTTGCCTGTGTTCACAAACAGCCTGTATAATTCATCCCCCATGCTGATATCTGTCTCTATTTTACAGCCTAATATGTCTTGTTATCATCATACATATCCCTGATTGGGGGGTTGTCTGCAGGCTGATGAGAGAATGTTTTTTATGCTGTTGGCATTTCATTTAATTGAACAAGTGCTGTTTCTCTCTTTAGTGAAAAATAAAACAAGGGCACTAAAAGTGATCCATTTGTTTACCAATGAATGGTGTCATTATGTTTTTTAATGTTTTAATATATAAAGTTATCCATTTATATTTTTTAGTCTGTACAGAGGCGAGTACATGTAGATGGAGGTCAACCCTTTCCTCAGTATTAGGGTGCTGGTTTAGCTCAGGTGGTAGGGCAAGCGCCCCAGGTTTAGAAACTTCGGTCCTTTTCGTACTGAATGCAGACTCAGCTCTATATGCTATTTAATATGTCAAACATCCCCCACTCTCTCAACCCACCTTTCCCGTCTCTCTATAGCTGTCCTATATTAAAGGCAAAAAAAGCCATCAAAATAGTATTTAAAATATTTTTTTCTTGGTTTTACGGTATAAGGGAGACTGTGCCTCAAGGAAGACCCAAAAAGAGCATGACATCAGGTGGGGCTGTCTTGTGGGCCGAGCTGCCATTAGCTAAAGATGCTCCCTTAATTTTTTAAGTTTAAGGGTCCCTCAGTGGTCTTCATTCATGCAGATTTTAAAGGAAGCTGAATTATCTGTCAAGGTCTCCTCCTCCCTAAGACAAAAGGACCCTGTCTTTTAAACCAGTAAACACTAATTAATGCAGTTTCAGGTTAAACATCAGTGTTTTAAAGTTTCCTTTTATTGGCAGGATTTTAAAGGCTGTTAGCTGACCTACCACTTCAGAGTTATTTGAGTTTTTTTTGGTTAAGATTCATTTAGTATGATTTAGTGATTAAAACCAGTAAAAACGTAATAAAGCTGCATGACACGATTATGTTAAGATTTCAGAATGTGTAACCTTTCTTAATGCAATTAAACAGAATAAACTCTTCATTACTGATTGCTTGAAAAGTCATGACATTGGATGTACAACAGACGGAGGGGCCTAGAAAGGATTTATGTGTACAAACATGTTTTTTTTTTGGCCAAACAGCTGATTAAAAGAAAAAAAAAAAAGGTAAAATACAGGAAAACATGAACATTTAGTAAGAAAAGTTTCCGACAATGGACTCTGTGTAACCCTTTGAAATGAACTGCAAAACATAGAATAATGACTTTGTATCCACTGCAGGATGCCGCTGGTGGGACACACAGAGACAGGTGGTTGTGAATAATCATCAGGAATAAAGTGACACCTCCCAATATGGCTGATATTTAAGGATGAGGTTGTGGAGGACACAAAGGGGGGGGGGGGGGGGGTTGGATGACTATTATCTGACAGGATGAAGCACTCACACCTGAAACCGTCACACCTCCATACATTTGGAGACAGTGCTGATAATTATCACCTACACCAGTGAAACATCACTCTACACATGGCCTCAGGAAAACAGGTAAAAGCTGAGTCAGTCACTTTCTCACGAGATGCTCGGACGGTGAGAAACACGAGACTTCCTTATAAGCCTTCCTCAAAGTCATCAGCAGATGGTGTTGTAACCCACGATGACTTACTGTACATTACTTTTACACATCTCTTCAAAGGCGAACACATGAAGCTGTACTTATGTACACATGATAGATCCATCCCGGGGAAGATAGAGATATTAAGCTACCAAGCCATTAAATATAGCAATATAAGTTGCACTACATGTTAGTACAACTTAAAAATAGGAAAATGTATGGAACTGAAAACACAGCATCTGACAAGAAGAAATTACAATTTGAGTTTGACCAAAATTCTTTGAAATGTTGATAGAGTTGAATTCATTTTTCCAGTCCACTTTCTATTTCCATACACAAATGTTTTTCATCATAATGAATTAAAATGAGAGACATTCTGATGCTAGATATTTTTTCTGGCTCTGCATCTGCACTTTACGACTTGGATGTTTCTACTCCTTTCTCAAAAACTGGCTAAATCCAAGACTATCCACAAAAAACTGAATAACTAAATTGTGCTTTAATCCTTGTAATATGGTGGCCATTAAAGAGCAGTCTTTAAGTAAAACCAAAGACCTATTTGGAAGACATTGAGGTAAAAATAGAGACTAAAATGACATTTGTATGTTGTCCAGCCTGGTCAGGTAAACTTTAGTCTCACTTTAGTCTCAATATGATCAACATGCAGCATTATACAACCTAAAGGTACAGACATGCTTCTCCTGCCCTCTGCTGGCGGTTATAGGAATAACAAAAATAAAACACCACAAATAGACAGACATGTTACTTAAATGTGTTTTATTCACCCCCTCTTTCAAATGTGCTATTGACAAAAGATGCACCCTGTACACATCATCATCAGACACTGTTTGAGATTCATGTTGTCCGACATGTGAGAAGCAACAAGATTGTTAACATCATCATTAGACCAGACATCTTGTTTAGTTTTGGAAGTGGGTACAGCATAACAATTAGTGCATTTATTGCATCATAAAGCAGACATAAAATTATAGTAGTGCAATTATACCCCATCACACCCGAGGAGATATCTTGATAGTCTCAGCTAGTGTCTTTTCCATAACAGACTTTGTATTGCATACAGAATTTAGGCAAGTGAAACACAACAGGAAATGATAATTATAAAAATTGTGCTTTGGACTTTTAAGCAATTGACTGTAGAAATTTCCTGCATGAGTAAATTAAACTAATGTTAATAACTGCATCATCTCATAAATGAAAATAAACTGTGGTCAAGTAGAATCATGTCTCTTAAACCTGGTCCTTCAGAAATGAAAGTGGGTGTCAGTGGAATCAATATTTACTGTGGTTTTAAATAACTGCAGTGCATCATTCTAAAAGAAGAGGAAAATACATTTAAACTCATGCTCTCTGAGACGTTTAATATATGTGCTGTGACTAAAACCCCTCCTGTCAGCATTGTTTTCTTCTGTGCAATTGTATAATACTTCTAATATCTGTATAATGAATATACAGTATGTACAGTATAGCCTGATGTATACATATTACTGCTTATGGAGATCATAATGATTTACTCTGAAGAGTGAATGGCTCATGTGAGGATGGTCCCAAAAAGCCCTTCTGATGAAACAGGAATACAATATGCCATGCATGTATATTCGATTATTTACACATGTGGTATGTTAGCTGATTGCTATATTTGTATAGGACAAAGCAGATGCCTTAACATGAGAATATCAGTGCTTTTTGAGATGCATTCACTTTAACCGTAAGACATGATGTGAAAGCTAATAGATGGTTACATGAAAACAATCGACACAAAGTTTAAAGGAAGTTTTGGGTGTTTGCAGAAAATACACTAACTAGTGTAATGACCGGAAGTGGAATGTATTATTCATTTATATGGATGCACGTTTGTCTTTCCATTTTAGTTGCAATGAGTACAGAATTGCCACAAGAGGGCGCCCTCTGTGTACTTATAAGCCTGCAGTGCTTTTAATTCTGCAAAAAGATTATTAAATAATTTACTGGGCTTATTGGGAAGTAAGCCTTGAAATCTTTTGATGTGCTCGGAGACTCAGTGTCTCTTCAGGGGTGATGAAATCCTCTCAGAGATGTAGCACAGTGGTGTAGTGGCGGATGGGTGCAGGTGTTTTTCAAAACTGCTACTTCTACTTAACTCTGAATCCGTGTTGATATCTTAAGTCCTCCTGCCATCCAAAGAGAAAATGAGAACTCTCCATCACTCCATTTAGCAGTTCAATATCACATTTAAAAAGGTACTACTGAAAAGATAAAAAGGCAGATATGTTCCTGACATGTCGTGTAGTTTATGGTGATGTGTGTTCTGTTGTTTTTTTTTTAAGTTAAGTGCACATATCACAAAGCATTACATTCAGCACACAAGCTGAGTCAACATGTTACTGTGTTATTTAGCTATACATTTATTCTATTTAAAAAAAAAATCATAAACTAAATCTACTCAACAAGCTGTTTTTGTTTTTCAAGTTTCTGGTCCTGAAGATCAAGTCAAGTCATGTAGGGTGTGCCAAATCTCTCACAGATGTATCATTTGCTCTACTTTCTAACAACAACAAAAAATACTACAAAATGAGAGTAGATGTTAATGTTTTGAAAATAAAATGTGCATCTGGTAGTAAGAGAGTGGACATGGTCATTGTAACAGTATCACACTTATAGAAACCATCATGAGGAATGGGTGCTACTTCATACCAGCAGTGCCAAACCAAAGTCTGGGACCGAGGCAATGCACTGGGGATATATTTTAGGGTAATTTTCCAATCTGTTAAATCACATATCAGCGCATCTTTGACATCTGGTTATGCTACAAATTATGTTGGATTAAATCAAGTCAGAAAGAAGAATTTTAACATCTTTGGCAAAACATCTGTACAATACTGTGTAGTTACTGAGACACACAGTTTAAAATGATTACATGTGGTAAGATAGAATCATTATAAAAGCCAAATGTAACTCTGTGATTTGTTTTGCAGTTGTGTATTGTATGCAAGAAAATAATTTTAGTCTATGATTCAAGTGATTTGGAATGAGATTTGCCACCAACCACCCGCAAACAAACCAGAGTTATTGCAAATAATCCCATTTGAGCTGACGGAGCAGCATTTACATTCACAGCTGTGGCAGATGATGCATATAGACTGTTGATGTGGAAGCATGCACTTGTCACGTGTGAGGTTTGCATTACTGTTGCATACAGATATGTGATCGGCTGTAATGAGGGCCCAGATGAGGACTACAAACAGTAGAATATCTAATTGGAGTAAATAAGATGAAAATAAATAAAAAAAACTGCTACAGGATAAAGTAGAAGACAAAATAAATAGTAAAGTAACTATTGTGCATTTTAAAGAAAAATATTTGGTTCAACTGGAATCACAGCTCACTGGGAGCTGTGGAGATGGAAGACATAAAGAACTGATTTGTGTCAATCTCTACACTCTTTGGAAGCCATCTTTATCAGAGAGAAAACCCTACAATGGAGAGCTACGTTTGTTTATACATTGTGTTACTAAGTTACAGAACTTGATGATAACATCCTCTGACTGTACAGTTACAGTATGTAATTCATCTGGGTGTCAGTAACACCTGGGCTGGCTCAGCTTGACCTTCAGTGTGAAAGCAGGGTGTCTGGGAGAGGTCAGGGGGTAGGTGAGGGGAAGAAGGTTGTGTGCCATGACTGCACTGCTGTATTGGGTTTTGTTACCAGTAAGCGTGCAGTAAAAGAAAGCAGCCCTGAGTTGTTAAGTGGTGGTAGGAGCAGGGAGCTCTTGCTGAGGGGGCAGCAGTGAGGCGGAGGCTCCTCTCGTCAAACCTTCCTCCTTCTCCTACCCCATCCTCTTGCTCCTCTACCTGTACCTCCAGTTCACCAGCCTCATGCTCTTTTACTCTTGAGGAACTCGGCTCTTGTTCCTCATTTTTTTGCCAGAGAAGGTGGTGGCTGGCTTTGGAGAAACAAGGGCTGCTGCTGCTGCTGCCCCCTGGTGGCACCCTGGTCCCTGTGCTCCATAACCTCCCCAGTGGACAGCACAGGCTCCTGCAGTGGAAAATGTCAAGAGAAAAAAGTCTCAGAAAAACATAGTACGAGGAGAAAAGTTGAAAAAGAGACAACTTTCTTATTACCAATTTCTGTGGCGGTGGTAATCATTCTATCAACTCTTGAGTCTCGGAAAACTAAAGAAAGAACACAGGAGGCACATATTATTTTAAGTATAATGCATGTGAAATGTAAAAACCCCATCGGGCTTCAGTCGGGGGTTTCTCTTACTTGTTGGCTAGAGTTAGCTGAGGGTGGGGTGATCACACTTTGGTCCAGTAAGGGGTTAACAGGGGCAGAACATGGGAGATGTGTAGCACGCCAGTAAATTTCCAGGTATTCTGCAAGGTGTTCACACGCATCCTCCAGCTGATTTTCATCCAGGATGACATCAAACATCTCCTAATGAGGAACATAATGCATGAGAAACATTGCAGTAACGTTACATTTCAGTAGCTTTTTGTGAGATTCATGATCATGGGTTTGCTGCAGAGTTCCTTACAGGTGGACACTGAGCTAGCTTGTCCCCTGCCATCATCTGGACATTTAGGTGTTTGCTTTGCGACTTCCCTCGAGATTTGATCAACCTCTGAAGAACCTGTAAGATGAGACAGAGACAAAGAAAACAAGACTTTAATAAAGAAAAACCTGAGAAAAGATGGCCGTCAAAGGCATCTTCAAATGACCTTTTTTTGACTGACAAAGTCGAAAAGCCAAAAAAAAAAAAACCCAAAAAAACAAACAGCAAATCCTTGCTATTTAGAATCTTCAATTACATTTTTTATGTAAACGAAAAACAAAAAATTAGGAATCCTTAAAAAAAAGTTTGCTGATTTATTTTCTTTTGGTAAATAATCAACTTCCTCACTGTTATTAACTGATTTGACTGAAATCCACAACCATACAGGCAAAGACAAAAGCCTTAAAGAAATGATTCTTTGTGTGTGCTCTACTTTGGGCGAGGAGACTTTGACGTAGACGATGATGGGAGCAAGAGAAGTTTTGAGGAGCTGCGCCGGGTGGTTGATGGTGTCAGCATCAAGGACGACCAGCTGGAGAGACTTGGCCAGCTCAAAGATCCTCTCTATCTCACTCTGGACCTCAGCTGCAACAAACCCAAACAAGACAGGCAGTTAAACACGCCTCACAGGGCAACATCACCGACTGAAGATTAGTACAGACGTGACATAAAAGAAGGAAAAGGCATCTATTCTTAGCAGGTATTAATCTTTATTTAGCAAAAACAGATCAAAGACAACTTTCCTGTCACTCACCCAGACTGGAGCGTGTGTTGGATCTCTCCATTATGGCCTTCTTGTTGAGCACAGAGCGCTTTGCCAGTGACAGATCAGCAGTCACCCGTGTAATAGAGATCCTGCAGAAAGAAGCATCTTATCACACCACATCCACAAACTGCTCACTCTCAAAGGATGAGATGAACTTGTTGTCTGTGACAGCTAAAAATAAGTCATCATCATCATGTGTCCCATCGACCATGAAACATGATAGGCAGAATCCGGCTCAGTAGCTCTGTCACAGAGTTACTGTACACGGAGCTGCAGCCAAAACACAGCTGTACTCACCTTCCGTCGAATCTGTGCTTTAGGAAGTCAAACAAGGCTTTCTGCATCATGTCTGTTACCTAGGCAACAGAGAGGAAGAAGAAGAGAAAGGGGAGAGAAGATAAGGAGAGAGACAAGTGTCGTGAAATGTACGGTACATCTGCAAACACTCAATTCAAACAATGGAATTACAGATTTTTCACTTATTTTTGGTCAGACTCTAAAGATAAATCTCCATATTTAACCTTTGTATTCACTTTATAAAATGTATCAAACAGTTAATTAAACACTGTAATATGGCTTACTGCAGATAAAGTGACACTTTTATGTGTCTTTCAAACTCAAGTTTTTGTCCATTACTATTTCTTCTTCTTGATACATGTATTAAATAACTTATGTTCATGTTTTTAAAAAATGGTATTACTTCTCTGACACCACTGCAAGAAACCCACAGAGGGAGTAACAGCTCCATTAAACAACACTTATATTCTTACTACTTCTGCAGGGGTTGTGGACAAACACTGAGAATGGATTAAAAACCAAAGAAAGAAACATGCTGTTTTAAAAAGTTCAACTTTTGAAATGTACAATGTTTGCATGTTTATAGAGTCTGGGTTTTGAAAGAGGGCGAAGGAGTCAATGTCACATAAAGAATTCTTAGACAGGTTATTGTTTTTTTTGTTTAGAAATCTAATCCGATACATTTTTCGTTCAGGCAGAATTTGTCTGTATGCATCTTAACATGTTGAAGTGGATATTTAACAATGGAGACAGAAAGTATGTGTTGTTAGCTAATGTTTCATGAACCCTGTGAGGGTGAAGGGAAGAAGTCTATTTTGAAAACGTCCTGAAAAATGGATGGCCTTTTGAATAGGGGATGAAGTGCACAGTGGTGTTGCTCCTCCTCAGCAAGAGATGGAGAAATAACAAGAGGGGAAGAGAGCAAAAGAGAGGGAAGCAAGACGGAGATGTCGGAGAACAATAAAGAGCGACCTAATATTATATGTAGAAGAGAGAAAAGGCAGAGAGAAAGGGGAAGAGGAGGAGGAGGAGGGCTGGCGGAGCATCCCCAGTGCACATCACCAGAGCAATGCATAAATATTTCACACACACACACACACACACACACACACACACACACACACACACACACACACACACACACACACACACACACACACACACACACACACACACACACACACACACACACACACACACACACACACACACACACACACACACACACACACACACACACACACACACACACACACACACACACACACACACACACTAAACAAGCGGATTGGCACACAGCCTGCACAGAGAAGGAGAGAGGCAGAGAGAAAATGTTGGAGCACAGATACATTCTGTTCAATTACATTCCTCACATTTCAGCACATTTACATGCAAGATTAATCCAGTTTAACTGCCATGCCTTTCTCATACATCTCATCCCACATGTGTTACTGAAGAGATCAAATACAGCGGCTGATATAAAGGGGCATACAAACAGTTTTATATGACTGGAAATGGATCTTAGACTCCTGTTGTGTGTGCTATAATATCATCAGGATGTGACTGTGGTGTTTGGTATCAGAGTTACTGTAATGGGATAATGGATACCAGAGCGATTCCCTTTAGATCAAACCAGCCAAGTCCATACTGGAGCAGAAAATACGGTCTAGATTGAACTGGATCCAATAATGGCAGCCCAAAGAGGGAGAGACTAGAGAATACACTCAAACACTCAGATATTTCACATGTGTTGCTGGTAGTATATTAACAAACACCCACAATATATTATTTATTTATTGACTAATTTACTGATTTTTGTGTGTGTCTCTGATGAATCTAATAAAAGTGTGGACAAATAGTATATGTACTCATCTGATAGGAGCATTACATTCAAACATCAAATTTGGATATCTGTGTTTGTGATAAACAGACTGCATGATGGCAGATGTTTAATGCTATAAAGCACAGGTGGGCTTTGAGCTTAATGCTAATGTCACAGTAAAAAATGCAAAAATATTTCTCTGGTTTAATATTTGCCATGTTCACACTCTATCATTTGGCAAATAGTACTAAACAAAGGTGCAGCTAGCCTGGGACCAATTGAAATGTCACTTGTTTTAGCATGTATCTTAGAAATTCAGCTCTTACTTACTGTCAGAAGATCACCAAAATAAACATTGACATTGATTTATGTACCAAATCGCATTACAATCAATCCTAAAAGATGCCAAGACACGTAACTCAAAAGCACCAATGTGACCTTCAGCGCCACAAGACAAAATGTCAAAGTTCAACAAAACCTGCACTGTTTGTCCTCTGGCCATCAAGAAAGTCTGTGTAAAATGTCACAGCAATCTATCCAATAGATTTTGAGATTCTTCAACGCTGGCATGGCTGAAACGTCTTCAGTTTCATTTTCTGAGTGGTCTACAGTGACAATGTACTCGTTTCTGAAAAAGCTGTAAAGACTAGATATTTGCAAGATAAAACATGTAAAAGACTTTTAAGATTAGGGTTTGTAACTTTGATGCACCCAGTGGCAGTATAAAATACATTCTGTTAGTATGAAATGACCTCCAACAATGTAGCTGATATAAACCAGAGACACTAAGGCAGCATTCACACTGCAGGTAAAAGTGATTTTTTTTTTTTGCTCATTTGTGACTCAGATCTGATTTGTTTATCCGGACATTGTGATCAGCACATGTCACATGAACTCTGATCTTTTTTTAAAGAAGATGTCTAAGATTCCCACAGGAGTCTGAAACAGGCCAATTTAAAAAGTAATGTGAACAGCCAAACAATAAAATTTGATTCAAGCAACAACAAAAAAAAAAAAAAAATCTGAATTGAGCATTAAGGCTTAAAGTGTGAATGCAGCCTAAGGAGAAAGGGGATGAAAGACTGCCGCACACATTGTAAATAATATTTCAATACTTTTCTTATACCAAACAAAATCTAGGGGCATTTAGCTTTCTATTTACTTTTGAAGTCAAACTCATTCAATAGTTTATTGATTTTTTATTGACTTACATCGGTTAAGTTACTTTGACACATGCTTCATATCTGACTATGTCCAGGTAATGCACACACACAAAGCAAGACTGGAATAACAGAACCGAACTATACTTAATGAAAGCTGTACAGATTATTATCTCACCTCATAACCTTTTAGTGAGGGGCCGACCAGCACCACAGGCCGCATAGAAGGGACCACGTCATATGGAGGAACATGCTCAGTCTGCATTCGGAATTAAATACAACAAGACATGTAATGTAACATGTTGAAGTTAATTTAATGCTATTACTTACACACACTAAGCTACAAACTGATATGCATGATCATAAGCATTTTGCATTGTCACCACCAATGTGCAGAGCTAGCTATAAAGTGCTCGTAAATATGTTCTTTTTTTTTTAACTCAGAATAATTTGAAGGTGAGTCTAGGTGTCTTATTAGATGACAACAATGTGGTACATTGGCAAACTTACCTGTTTCTGCTTCTGTTTGGCTTTTAGGATAAAAAGAATCCACATTAAACATTAAGTTAAAAAGAAGGCTAAGGCAATAAGAAAGAGGGTGTTCACAAAGAAATCATGCATGCCATGCCAATCTTTGGTCATCTCAAGTAATAATTAAGCTCAGTTAGATGGAAAAGGACATATTAAAAACACATTTTAGAGAGCATTTAGGCCTAGATATGGCAGGCTATGCAAATGGGACCCCGAGAGAGCACATAGAGGCAGAGCAGACAGACACAGCAGCAGGACAACTTACCTGCAGATGGAGGGGTGGACCTCCAGCCTCCGGATGAAGCGTTTCCTCCTTTCCTGTGGAGCAACATAATGCAAAGCTTCATTATGCGTGAATTCTCTCAGGGTGCAATTTAGAGAGAAGGACTTCCAAAACAGAGCAACACATGAGCAAGAAGTTGTTCTAAAAAAAGTTTTCAAAGGCTGCGCAGAAAGCTGGAGGAATTAGGTCAACAGCGAGAGATACAGAGAGTGATGAAAGACATGTAAAGATCTCTCTGAGTTGTGTAACTGCTGACCTTGCTGCTGCTTTCTGCTCCTGCTTTATCCTCATGGCCTCAAGTTTAACGGGGCTTGGGATGAAGGTGATGTCCGCCCCTTCCTTCACCAGCCGACCAATCCACCAATCATTGTTGTATTTCTACATGACAGGGAAACACACCTTTAATAATCAGGAATTATGCTTGCATTTGTTTTTTATGTGATTATTTTAATGCTAAAAGCCTCTTACTTCTTTTATGTGCAGAAAGTCTTTGGTTTCAAAGTTAATAGCGGCACCTTGGACTGGACAATCTTCATCCAGGGCCCCACAGTAACTCACATTGGTTTTCACAGCAAATGCTACCGGTTTGGACTGATGACAGAGAAGAAGGTAAAATATACACATGAAAAATGGCAATTGACATTATCAATTCCATACTCACAATTGTTTGTCTGAAGATTAAGTTTGGGGCAATAGATCCCTATGAATCCACAACCATTTAAAAAATCTAACGCTCCTGTTTGCATACTTATTCTTAGGTACTGAAGGCAAGTTTAAAGACAAACGTTGACCTTAGACCCCCAGGCTAACCTTGGCTCTCTCTAACTGCAGCTGAGCCTGGCGCTCGGCTTCACGCCGAGACGCCTCCTGGTCCTCCTCCAGGGACAGGTCGGAATCCGAGGGTCGACTAGTGTAGGAATCGGCTGAACCCTAAAATATGGAGGAGATAAGAGAAACAACGGTTACAGCCCTGGTAGAGAGGAAATAAATGAACCACCTGACACATTAAAGCAGCTGTGGCTTCATGTTCAGAATTACTCCAGGAACAATCTCTGAATCCATCAGCTATTGTCTGACAACAGTATCTGGGGAGTAAAGCTAACATTTCGGGGCGTCTGATACAAGCAGCAAGTATGCAACAAAGGACTTCAGGGCAAGACTTCATTTTCCGAGTGTTGCCATATTTACAGTCTGACTAGCAACTTGGGAAGTGAGGATGGAGTTTGTGTTGAGGCACAACATCAAAAGTAGATGTCATGCTGATGTGTGTTTAGAGATTATTGAAAAATTAATTGACATCAGAGGACCTCCGACTAGGAGCTGGGATTGCATCACGGCAAGATGGCATTGTATCCCTTTGGCTCTCCACACTGACTGTTTTCTTGCATAAAGATATAGCCTGCTGAACAGTGAGTATACGAACACTGTCAACACAAAAACTGGAATTCTTCCAGCAAATTCTGCATACATATCCATGATCTAGTTAGAGAAATAACTAACCAATAGTTGGATCCATAGATCAGCCTCTGTCTCTCTGTATGCCCTCCTTTTTGTTCAACCTGTACCTGAACCTGCCTGTCCTCTCCTGAAGCCATGTGATCCAGCCTGCAAGGACCTGTGAGTTCTTGCAGCTTTCCAAAGCAGCCATCTCAGGGGAACAACATGTGCGTGAGAGCTGCAACAACACCAACATCCAGGACACGCACTTGTTGTCTATACACTCAGCCTGACTCAACAGATGTTGGCAAATGTCCAGAGAGTCAAATAAGAGAACAAAAAGAGTACAGATTATATAAAATAATAAGACTGAATTAATCCATTTTTGAGACTCTGTGTTGGTCTACAGAAGTAGTGTAGGACCTGTGTCATTTAAAATATATTTTTTTGTTTCAAATTTGCATGCTCAACTTGCTTTTGTATAAATAAATCCAAAGATTGTAAAACATATCCTAACTTTAATGATAATGAGTTCATATAAAATAAGTTTTTACATAAATTAGCTCACCTGATGTATACATATTTATACTAGAGCCTGACCCAAACATCCCTTGGCTGATTTTATCAGGTCAAAATGAGCATATTACACAGTATTTGCATATATGCAGTACGCTGTGTACATATTAAAACACTATATGATAAAACATTTAATCCATAACGTGATGCATGGTGAGTTTCAAACCTGATGTCATCATGTGTTTAGCAGAGTGTACTTTGATTCCACTCTTTTGACTGTCTGCAGAGCATGAAGCAGAACTTCACAGCTAGGCAGCTGCTAGCAAGCACTAGCATTGGTTGTAAAATGTAAAGTAATTTTTTCTACTTTTCTTTAATGTTATTTGCATTGGAAAACAGATCACAGAGTACCTTTGTAAAGTCATAATATTTCAGAATCCTCATAGATAAGGTCTGTTTTCATTTACAGATCAGAAATGGACTATCAAATATGTAATTGGTTATTTTTTTCCCGCTTTATATCGCCACAGCTACCCCAAGTCAAACCGTGATTGCAGACAATAAAACCAAAACTTAAAACAACTAAAATATCCAGTTCAAAAACATTTGAACCTAGATTACAATTATTTGGCAACTGGCTTAACCTCTGACCCTTTGAATGAAAAAGACAAGAATTGTATCCAACAAAGCAAAAGCAAACATACAGTATAGACCAAACCTGAAACTGTGAGTTATCATATCAACTTTCACAAATCCTCATTTTAACAGATTTGTGCTCTCCCTCCATCAGCACCCCACTCCTCCTCCCTTACTCCCCTGGCTTCCCTCCCAGCTGGTCGCAGGGCTGGAATACTCTCCATTAAACAGACAGGAGCTCCCACAAAATACAGCCAAATATAGCTCCATAACAGCGTCATCATTTTTTTTTTTTTGCTCTTTTTCCCCCACCTGTTCCCTCCTCCCTCTTCTCTTCTTCATTCCCTCCCCACCACTTTCCCTCCATCCCTCCCTTGCTTCATTGGAATCCAGAACAGAGTTTGAGGGAGTCATTTGAATATCAAAGCCTGCCAGCGTCTGTAGAGTCTACCAGCAGAAGAAACAAAACCTAATTAAAGCACACACAGTTCTGCAGATGGATGAAGAGAGCTGATATTATGAACAGAGACTGAGTCGCTTAAGTCATTCAAATCTATACATTCTCTTCACCTTTACTGATCTTTCTCTTACACTGGCACATTTGTATTCTGTTTTGATAAGATGAAAGGAAATGACAGCAAAAAAAATCCCTTAGTTATGTAAGAGTAAACTACATGTTCCCTTCAAGTTGAAGCACAGGACTGCCAGACTTTTTCTTTGTTACTGTCTGGGTTCTTTTCTAATATCACTGCAGCACGGACTCACAATGGCTATAAAGATGTAAAATAATCTTTGTTGTGTCATTCATGGCTTTTGACTGGTGCAAAACATGCAGAAAAATCCAAAGTGAGATGCAGAGAATTAGATTTAAATTTTCTCAAAGTGGTCTCACAACTTTGCTTTGTTATGGGATGATTATGATTAAGGGCATTCTCATAATCACATGATATGTTAAGAATAATTAGTCAAGAAAACAATTAGGACAGCACTCCAAATTAGTATTTTTAATTGCCACACTAACGTTTCGAGCAGAATAAAAAAGCCATGTTATACGCTGAAGAAGAGCGTCCGCTCGAAATTAACGATACAAATTTGGAGTGCTGTCCTAATTGTTTTTCTTGTTTGAACATTTTTTGGGATTCGGCACCCAGTTGTTTAACGTTACAAGGGAGTGGAGAGAGTTTTCTCTATCATTAAGAATAATTAGTCATCAGTTGTGTGTTGCCCCACTTGGGACATTAAGTTTCAGGTGCTAAGACACTTTTGAAATGAAAGCTTGTGTGAGGAGTTTTTGGTTGATATTATAGGAGATTTAAATGAATAATAATGACTCTTGGTTAGATACAAAAGCAAACTCGATCATCAAAGGGAAGATTGAATATTTCTTTAAAGTTATTTTATATGGCTGTCACTTCTAGTGGTAGGTGTAAGATGAGGAGATTAACAGGAAACTGTCCAGACAACCTTTTATTTTAAGATTCATTATGAGTTGCATATCAGTCCTTTTAGATTTGAATGATTTAGAATGAGATTTTCTGTCAGAAAGCACTACGTACACATGTACAGAACTAGATCAACAAAGAAATCATTCTCCCTGCTTTGACCACAGGTGTCGCAAAAATGCGGACATCTTGTATGTTCCTCACAGGAGTTTTAACTGTCCGAGCTGTCAACTTAAAACTGGCAGAAAAGAAGCTGATCAGTTGTGCATTTGATAAAGATTAAGTGCTCGATATTATCAGTTAATATGTGGATTAAACAAGAATCTTCCATTAGTAACTCTGTCCATTCTGTGAGTGTTGTGCAGCCAAAAAGCCATTCTCTGCAGACAGACCAACAATGTTTCCCTCTGTGTGCATGAGCTTGAACACATTGGCTTAGTGTATAAATCCACCTTGGTGTTAACTGAAAAGGTTGAATGAAGAATGTTGAAAATCTTGAAATGACAAGCCAAAAAAACAGATACTCCCTGTGGCCATCAACATCAACAATGAGATGCATATTAAAAAGAATAAATAAAACTGTTATTTTTCACAAACCTTAAGACATAATCACAATCCCGTATGTAACTCAAAACAGATTTTGCTTGCTGTAATCGTTCCTCCAGTTCAAACTGGGAATAAATAAGGGACCTCCTTGCATGCATCAAACCCCAATGTTGTGGAAACAATCCAAAGTACTTGTTCTGTGCAAAGATCTGCTCCTAAATTCTTCTTCCTTCATGTCATTGTGAATTGCTTCGATGAATAGAGGAATTAGAAGGATATTTTTTTCCTTTCAAAGAGCCCGTGAAGAGATAGTAGCACAAAGTGGGATTTTTTCTATAATAAACTTATGACTGTGAATATGGTCCCCCACTTTCATTTCCCAAAGTAACATCATGAGACTGATACGCTAAGCACACGTATAGGCTGAACTGCATTATAATGTTGAAAGGTTGGAATTCCTTCATACGAAAACAGAAGATAAGACTCGGGCAAAGAACAGGGGTAACAACCATGACATTCAACAGATGGAACTCTCCGTTTGTTACAAATTCAAAGCAGAGCTTCAAAGTTACCTACAGAGTTGCAAAAAGATGGTCAGACTGTGAGTGAATGGTGCAGTATGTCCAGAGAAGAAGGGAAAAAGAGAAGAGAGAGAGGAGTTGCGGGCGAAGTGAGTGAATCAGAGGAGACTTCAGCCTAGACGAGAGTGAGGATGGGAGGAAAACGGGGAAAAAAGAAGAAGAAGAAGATGTCTGAGAGCAGACAGACGGGGGGGGACACATGGACGAAGATTCTGAGTTTGCATGCAGCGTGATTCAACAAAACGGGCAGCATCCACAGCGTACCTTGTTACAGATGAGTCCTGTAGCGCTCGAGTCGGAGGCAGACATGATGCTGCTGCCAGCACTCTCTTCTACCCCATTGCACAGAAGAGGCAGAGCCCTCCTCCTCCTCCCTCTCCTCCCCTCAGCCCCGTGGTTACAGAGGGGGAGAGAGAGAACGAGGCAGCCGCGTTCAGACTAAGTGCTTCACAGCTGACGTTGCCTCACTGCCTGAACAGCCATTTCCTATTCAACATTGATACCCTGACTGCAGCAATGGTGTGTTCATGCCCACATACTGGTTCAGTTCTCTGGATTTTGCTTCAGCTCTCAGGCCGCCCTAAAGAAGGAGTTTTTCCTCCAGTCTTTGCATTCTCCCTTCTACTCAGCTCACCCACCGCACCGCAAATCTTAAATACAACTCTTTTTCAGCATCACAACACTTTTCTATAGCCTTTATGTCTTTAATGCTGATTTTGGGTTTTAAACAATCCTGAGAAGTGGCATTACATGTTGTTTACATTAAAGATGT